CAGAGAGAAAAGGTATTAATTTCAACTAGTTATCAAGCTTTAAATGAAAGGTTGCTGTATTTAATCTCAACTAAACCAATTTCTTTCTTTATTTATACATCATTCATAAAATATTACAACTGTGTTACAACTTGGTAAATCTATACAAATATGGGGATTTTTTTGATGTCATATAATTTTATTCACAATCTGTTCATCAATGTGAACATTGAGTAAAATTAAGATCGCGGTTGACATTAAATGGATAATTTTTCCGGATGGATAGTTACCATTATGATGATTTCATTTTAATTTGTTGATTGGCTGTCATCTTGTAGGTTAACTTCAGTAGTATATTGATGCTCTGCGATTCCACTATTTCCTTTGACTGTGAATCTGCTACTATCTTTAACACTGTCATTGTCCATCGACTTGACTGAAGGTCCATATGCCGAACCTCGTTCATTTGACTGTCCATCTGTGATGAACGATGGCCCTATTGCAGCAAGCACCGAGAGGGCTCACAAAGGGCCTGGCTTGACCAGGATTTGAACCGGCGCCCACGTGGGTGGGGCGACTTAACCATTCGGATATTAATCGCCCTGTTATTAAGGGTGGATTATTTTATACAAAATGTCCCTGTTTCTAACGAACAACTAAGTTGCGCGGCTAAACGGAAGAAATCGTTGGAGTTTCACAGATGACGTTTATACTTCTATATTTAATACTCTTCTTCAAGCTTAACTCTTCCCACCTAAGCTTTCTCTATAATAAAATAAAATCAGAGAAACAAAATTATGTAATATTGAATTTCAATTACCAATTTGATTACTTCCAAGTTTTTAGTTGAAAAGTAGTATTATTTAATGACAGGTTGTGGTGTATTTAATTCCGACTATAAAATTAAGTTCAATCTTTAAATATAGCATACCTCTGGTAATATTACAAAATGTACAAGTGTAATCAAATATTTTTTAATCATAATAATTATTACTTTTATAATTATTTTTGCAAAATTAAATATTGGGTTTTCATATGTTTGTTTTAAAGGAATTATGTCAATGCTTTGACTTTTGAATTAGTCATTTTAAATATGTCACTTTTAACTTCCATTAGAAGCCAATTGCTCATATTTTTGTTAGCAGCTGTTATTTTAAGGTCAATTTTATCAGGAGTGTAAAACCGAACGTTTTTATTTCCGTAAAGGGAAACTGCTCACAAAGATATATGTGAAGTGATAGTTGATAGTTTAACAGAATGCAACCGATCTGGAGATATTTCACTCAAAGATACAAACGTTGGTTATTTTTGAGTGAAATGAACTACTCAAGTTTATTATGATCAAATTAAAGTCATAATTGAATTATATAATTGTGCAAAAATGTTAAATATGTGACACACAATAACTGAAAATCATTTAAATGACTTGGACTTGTCAAAAATCTCTATATTCGTATGAATTGAAAAAGACACAAGTCATGAATATTTGCAAAATCTATCTCAAACGCAATTAAATCGTCACTTTTTTTAAACAAATCAATACTAGTATTAAAAAAAAAGATCAATAACATCAATCGAAAACTATCATGATCTAAGCGACTATCCATTTTTGCTGATAAGGACAAGAAGTAAAGGTGAGTTCATACCAGAATGTCATGGCACAAAATGGAATACAGTGGATCCTCGCTTAACGATCACATCGCAAACCTCAGTTAAAGCTACTTTTAGTAAATATTTAGAACATTTAATTTCAAGCATGTACAACAATTTGTATTGGTTCATTTAGAACCAAAGTGATTTAAAATACTTTAATTTGAATTGAATGAATGTAGTAATGTAGTAATTTAATGTGTAATTCTCGTAGAATTTTATAGTTATAGTTAAAAAAATACCGTTAATAAAAACTGAAGTAAAACTTTCATAATATTGAATAATTTATTCATAAAACTGTATTCTTTCGAAATTATGAAAGTTATTATTATTATATACAGACTATATAAGTGCATACAATTTAAAATATGATATCAAAATGAACGTTGTATGTATTTAGAAACATGTATATAAAAAAACTAATATTTTGTTTTCCTTAATGTAACACCACACTCATTAAGTTCGTAGGGAAACTAATAAAACACCAACTTTTTGGTAATATTCAACTTTATTCATCAACGCACTGTTGCGGAGACTATCCGCAAGAGTGGTCATACATTCATTCCAACGCTTCTCTAACATTTCGATACTTTTCTAGTAGAAATTTATATTTCGCCTCAAAATACGGATTTCACCCTTTGCTGTCCACTCAGCTGATGACCAATTTGACTCTGGAGTGAGTTGATGGATACAGGTTTTATCCATACATACCGCATGAAAATCCTTTTATTTCGCTTTTTCGTTGTTTGTGGGCCAATTTGAGCAAACGCGGTAATCATTTCGAACAGAGCTTTCTCATGAGCAAATGTTCATGAAAATGGTGAATACACTGCTTTCTCATATCTTCATTTTGTGGACTTTTTTTTCTGAAAATTACAAAAATAGCGGCACTAAAACCACTGTAACTTGTGAACTAAACGTCAGATTGTCATGAAATTTTGACAGGCGTCGTCTGAAGATTGGTACTTCCTAAAAATGATTTGTATTTGTCGATAGAACCGCGATCGTTATCCTTCGAACGTTATCTTACTAAATATGTACTCAATAATACAGTTATAATATTTATCCTGAAATTATTAATTAATTTACACAACATACAAAAAGAGTAAAATTTCAAAAAAATAATTATGTAATAGAAATTGTCAAAAATATTCCGGTACCGGGAATCGAACCCGAGCCTCCTGGGTGAGAGCCAGGTATCCTAGCCACTAGACCATACCGGATTATATTATTGCATATGTTTAATTTAGCTGAAGTAATAACGTATTAATTTAAATATAAATCAAAATTAATTATATTCCTATTTTCTAAATATAATAAACCCGTTGAAATTACTCTGTCAAGTGCTAATAAATATGTATTCGGCACTCGTTCTCCCTAAACACTTAATGTAGGCAACTTCATTTGCATTCGCTTAAGACAATTTACATAAACGCGCGTGCATTCCGTTTCTCTGCACATGGGAATAATGCTACACTTTTCACGGAAGATTAAACTACTACATTCAGTGTAAGATCGATACATTTTTCTTTTATTTCTTTCACTCTGGGGATTAAATGTAGCAGATTATTGTATTTAATGTTGCGGACGTGCTGATGAAGACGAATCGTCGCTAATATTGTTAAATTAAAGGATAAGACGGATTAGCCAGTATTGTCTAATTTCTGGACTTGTGTTGCTGCTGCTGCTGTTGATTGATACAAATGTGACCAGAAATAAAGGGTTTTCGGAAGGGTCCAATCTATTTGGGATTATATTTGTCCAGCTGCTGGTCAACCGGAGCTGCGGACATCGGACAGATTAACTTTCCCTGTCCAACCCCAATTGTGCAATTTCATCTAATAAGTAAAAGTAAACGAAAAAGAAGGATTGTAACATCTGATTCTCTTAACAATTCTAGTAAATATACAGTTTTAGTGAATGAATCAATAAAAGTCTCATGTTTCATTAAGTGTGTATACCAAATATACATACATTTTTTTTGTCATGGAAAACTTGTAATAATAATCAAACATTAATACATATTTGGGATATGATTACTTAACCAAATATAACAGTAACAAGTCCATCTTTTACATTAATTGCTTAAAAATCCTTTAAAATTTTCAAATTTAAACATTTAGTTTACTTTCATATTTAGACTATTAGACTTTAAATGTATTATTATGTGTTTTAACTAAATTTTGTTATACAAAAACAACTCACTAACTGACAAAATAAAGAAGAATAGGATTAACATTGGAAGTATATAATAAAAAATGAGAATATTAACCATGTCTATGTGAAGAAAAGTATATAATTTGCTATAAGATATTATATAACAGTGTTTCTTAACCAGAATTGGTTTTCATATTGAGTCGCGAAATGACAGTTGTCACCTTCTGTTAAAGAGAGAAAGTGATGAAATACTTATAGCAATTGGGACGTAGTACAATTACAAACAAATAAGTTGGGTCGCGCGGCGTATTAACTATATATAACATTGTTTATCAACCAAAATTGGGTTGTTTTAAATGTTTAATGAATCGCGAAATGACAGCTGTCACCTTATGTCATAGTGAGTGATAAACTGTGTCACTATAAACTAATATGTTGGGTTATATCGTTTTTATATCTTAATTACATATAATAAAATATAACACTACATAAATAAGGCCGAAATACTTCAATAAATTGTTGTTTCTTAAAGTTATATCATATTTTTAATGAAAACATAATAATATTTCTTGATTAGACATATAAAGTTAGTTTGATATAAAAGTATGAGAGATTACTGGCAAATTTAAATATTTTCATAAATTTAGTAATATAGCTTGAATTTATGTTACAATCAATTAATATCAATTATATAACAAAACCATATTACCCTTTTGGTTTTGTTATATAATAAACTTAAATTGTGAGAACTGAAAGATTATTATCTAAATACAATAAGAATGAATAGGAGACAGCACTTAATTCTCTATTTAGAAGATATGAATGAAAGTAATGTTGGTATGGAGTGTATGGTCCAGATTTTTTAATTCTCCCCTAAATGCGCAATTGTCAGGAAAAGGGGCAAAAACAAACGCTAAGGAAAATAATAATAATTGCTTCTGTCTTGGAAGTTCGTTGGGTAGATTAAATTCAGTCTCCCCCATAATAATATGAAAAAAAAAGACCGAGGAAGAAAGAAAAGGAGACAACGAATATGTGTGTGTGTGTGTGTGTGCTTGAAGCAATACATCATATCATGTCAAGTTTTTGTTGGGAAAAAAGGGTGTTTCCATTATCGTTCACACAAAAGGTTGCTGCATCTCTTATTAATACAATTCTCTGCCACCC